AATTTTTCCAGCTTATATCAACAAATGATCTAGGTTAATTCTATGCCAGCCAGAAACATCCACTAAACTCACATCAAATTCTCTAGGTCAGTGATGGGGAACCTTTTAGAGACCGAGTGCCCAAACTGCAACCTAAAACCCACTTATGCATCGTTGGGTGCCAGGTGCGTGTGGCCATTGGGTGGGTGTGGCCCATTGGGTGGGCATGGCTGTGGTGGTAACAGCAGACTGGGTGGGTCTAAAAAGTTCAATCAATCAATTCCAACTTTACAAGATCTTTTTTTTTCCCCGTAAGAAGTTGAAATTGATTGATTGATTGAACCTTTTTTTTGTATACAGCGGCGGAGGCCTAAAACAAAAAGGTTTTATAAAACCCAGTTGAAGACCTAGGACTGGGGCGACGGCATGCGTGCCCACAGAGAAGGCTCTGAGTGCCACCTCTGGCACCCGTGCCATAGGTTCGCCACCACTGCTCTAGGTTCTAGAACTCAAGAACTGTCTAGTAATTCAAGAAGAAAGGTAACAAGCTGGTTTAGATATCAGCTACTAAACCTGTTAATCTACTCCACTATTGAACCATGGAATATATAGTAGATGGTCTAAGAGAACAGTCACCCACACAAATTTGTGAAAATATTATTCTATATCCAAAATGTATCTCTCTTTCGTCTAATAAGTGAATCCATCTATACTTAAAAGAAGATACTGATGGAAAAAAGACTAGGTGAGTACAAGAATGCATGGGCTGAAACTGAAGTAGATGTTGATTGAAGAATTCATATCCCTCTCAACAGCAATCCAGTGAATGCAACCTTTACCTGCACTTTTACAAAATGTTTTACCAGCCCTGTCTATCGTTCCCCAAAGTACAGCAAGCTCTCTGTCTGGCATAAGAAAGCAAACTGCCACTCTGCAGATGATTTTTCATGAAGCTGTCACTGACTATGTCCAAGACACATTCACAATAGCAGGAGCTGTAAGTCCAGGAAAATCCTGAGAATATGTACCAGGTCCATCTGGGGCAATGTAATTCCATCCAGAACCAAAGATGCTAAATCCCCAGATGCAGAACAGCTCTCTATCACAGCAACATGTGCTGTGTGTAAAAGCCCTTCCTTCTATCCTGGATCTCCCTGCAGTGGATGATCTCAAGCTCCTACTCTGTAAAAACAATAACTTCTCTCATTATTTATGCCATGCATTCACTTACACACCACTATCTCCCCTTCCCTTCCCTTCCTCTTTGCCAAACTAAAGAGCTCCGACTACTGCATTCTTTTCCTTATAAGATAGTCCCCTAATCATCTGTGTTGTGCTCTGTATTTTTTTAGCTCTGTAATAGCCTTTCCTTTAATCTATTTTCAATTGCTCTCTTAATGATTCCAAGCCTGGAATCTGACCCTTTTACTGCAGCTACACTCTGGATTGATAGTTTCATTGAACTGCCCATGGTAATTGCAAGATTCCTTCCTAGCTGTTCATTCCCAGCTCAGATTCTATTAAATATTGTATAGGTGTAATTTGCATTTTTGTGCCAACACATTTCACCTTGCATTAGGTTCCTTCAAACTACATTTGAAGACCACTCATCTGGTTTCAAGAGATACCAAAAAGATATTCTTGTTATTCTTTCCAACCCAATAAAATAATGAAAAAATTATTTAAAGGAAGTTGAGCTGGATCAGGCCAGAAGGTGCAGGAAAAAATAATCCTAAACGATTCCCATGGACAAGATATTTGGGTAAAAGTTCAAATGTACACAACTGGTCCCTTCTATTCTCTTCCTCCCCAGTTCCATGATCCACACTGGAATGCAGGCAAGGCACACATACAGGAAGTTTTTGTTTACTGACTGCCTTGATTAGCAACAGTGATGAAAAAATAACTTTACAATCAATCTTTACATTTATGATCTTTGCATGTCGGTAAAGCAAAGGCAAACTGAAGTAAGAGTATAAGGATGCTTGTAGCTTCACTTGGCAACTGCTTCACTTAATGACCAAGTTGCCAGTCCCAACTGTGGTTCCTAAATGAAGGCTTCTGTACATGTTCATCCAAACATATGGCCATTGCTGATAAAGGGGTTAAAAATAATACCAGAAGCTATCCTCTGTATTCCTTTTTTATTTTACCTTCCTTAACCATTTGGCACTATCAGCGAACAAATTTGTTGTATTTATAATTAGACCAGGTAAAGTTGGGAAATGCCCAGTCAGGCAGGGAGAAGTCAAGCAGGAAATTAGCTTTGAATTGCTGCATAGCCACAAGAGATCCAGAATTAACCTCCCCACAAACAAGTTCCATGGAACCTTTATCTGTCTGTTCCTAAGGAAAGGCAAGCCAGTCTGGGGAGATTCCTGTATTATAGGCAGAATGCAATGAAGTAGTTAGCTTGATCTCTACATATGTGGATCTGGTCATTTGCACCTGATAGGTGAAAAATAATGGGGAAACCTTTTCTCTATCTGATACTCTACATATCTGCTGTCAATCAGAGAATGTAAAACCTAGCCTAATAACAATAATCAGAAGGAAAGCAGTTTTCTTCATCCAAAACTCTACTCAGTGAGAAACTTTCAGCTTAAATCAAAACAATTTGAGTGCATTAAATATGAAGGCAACAGAGGGAAAAGAACTAAAACAATGCCAGCTTTAGAGAAAGACTAAAAAGATATTAATTTATTTAATACTCATAGCCTTGCATTTATATTTATAAATATTCTATTTTACTGAACAAATTGATGCACATATCGCTTGATTAAGCATACAACTACTTGGCTCCTTATAGAATAGAGGCAACTGTGGGCAAGTGTTAAAAATGAAGACCAGTCAGGATAATATGGTCAGAAGCTATGACTCCAGAAGGTACAAATGGAAAACAGATCAGACATTCTGAGGCAAAAGCAGTCAACCATGGAAATTAAAGGAAAGGAAGGGCTCCTTTGGCACTAAGGGGAAATGGATAAGAATCTTTATACAAAGAAAAAGTAAACAATGACATTAATCTTTTAAAAAAGCCTCCCCAAAGGAAAATATTCGAGGCCACACAATAGTTCTGAAAAGGTCACCACATTTCTTAAAAGAACACTTCTTTATCCAACTCCAGGACAGAAACAAAGAATAAAGAGAAAGCAAAAAAACCCATCTTAGCTATCAGTTATTATCCAGTTTAAAAGTCTGGGTGAAGCAGAGACTACCTTTGCATGACAACATGTTCACCTTATCACCAACACAGCCATGGTTTATCCACCAAACACAATTTTCTGGGTTTGCACAATACACTGAATCACATATGGACCTCCTGGAACAGGATTTGCATGTGGACTAAAATGTGGTTGAATAATTCGTGGCGTAGGGTATTGTACAAACAAAAGCATGGATTAAACATGTACACTAGATTCACACAACACACGGTTCTATGAATGTAGCAAAGGAGGGGTAACCTTCCAAGAGATTTCATTGGGCAACGGTCCTACCCCTAACACAAGCACTGAGTTGGAGGTCAGAGACAATAGAGCTGGGGCAGCAACTAAACCTACAGGAAGGTCAACTAAGAGGCATGACGGAGAGGCAGGGAAGTAAGAGCTTGCCCTTGGCCCAACTTATCTTATGGGTGCCAGTAGCATCTATAATATATTCTATGCCACTTGTGGTGTTTTCCTGATTTATATTCAAGGCAACACAGAATTTTCTCTGAATAAGTCAATAGCAATCCTTTTCTGGGTGCTGGTTAGACTGCAACCCTCATGATCCCAGCTCCTGGGTACAAAGCTGACCCCATGCCCTTCTTTTTATACTCTGTGGTCAACATTTGGTCAACATTTTCTACTCTTGAGTTACTCCAGGTAGAGACAGCCTTCTTACATTACTCCATCCCGCCTATTCTACACATTTGTATAAATGTATACAATGCTTTCTTATAGATTTGTATAGAACATATTATTCTATACATCCCACTCCTGTCTCATCTGAGTATCCATAACTACCAGTCCCAATTTTATGTAAGAATTTCTCAATGGTACCTAAACATGTGCAACAAGCTTTGATGCCAGCTGATCTCTAGTGCAAAATCAATAAGCCTTTCAGTTTCTCCATTCCAGGGACATGGTTAGTGCAGGAAAAGAAGAGAAGAGATTTGCAAAGCAGGCTGAGGAGAATAATGCCCTCTAACCATGTGCAGAGTGCAATGAACACCTCTCTTGAGAAAACCAAGGGTGGAGAAGTTTGTGCTGATTTGCTGGGTCAGTGTTAAAGAGAACTCCTGCTTTCTCAGCAAACTTTCCAGAAATCACTGCTAGAAATGAACCAAAGATGCTTTTTCAGGAGGCAATTGGAGTTTCTTGTTTTTCTTTGAAGATGTTTCGCTCCTCATCCAAGAAGCTTCTTCAGCTCTAACTGGATGATGTGGAATGAGTTCCCCACCATCCAGTCAGAGCTGAAGAAGCTTCTTGGATGAGAAGCGAAACGTCTTCAAAGAAAAAGAAGAAAGTCCAGTTGCCTCGTGAAAAAGCACTTTTGGGACAACTATGACCTGGATGACTCAGAATCTCCATAGTAGACTGCTAGGAATGAGGTTGGCAAGACAGCAACCAGCGATTCCCAGACTCCGAATCTTCTTTATGCTGACACATGCCAGCTACCTCCAGCTACCTCCAAAACCAAAAGACTTTAAAGTTGGAGACAGGGTCTATTTATCCACCAAGAGTTACACTCTACTTCTAAGAAATTGGGACCAAAATACGTTGCCCCTTTCTTTTCCCTATTAAAAGAGCGATCAACCCCAGGAGGGAAAAGGGGCTGACATTTAGTCCCGGAGCAGCTACTCGGATCAACGTTGACTACCCTGAACTGCAAGAGACCGAGGAGTTATCTAAGGCTCGGCTCAGGTCCGCGATTCAGGGACCAAGGCGGGCGGGCGAGCCGCCCGCGCCAGTCCTGCGAGAGAGAGTTCCGAGTCTGCCGCGCACGGCGGTCGGTGGCGAGGCTCGGCGGTGGCTTACCTGAAGGTGAGGATGCAGAGCGGGCGGTAAGACTTGTGGCTGGTGTTCTCGGCCATGCCCTTGCCCCAGAAGTCGTCGGAGAAGGCGGCCAGCGGGGAGGCTCCCGGTCGCACGTCCGGGTTGTTGACAATCGCCCACACGTCGTCGTGCACGAACTCGCCCTGCAGCGAGTTCCAGTAGCAGAGAGCGGCCAAAAGCGCGGCGCTCGCCGCAGCCCCGCAGCGCCCAAGCCGGCCAGCCCAAGCTAACCACCGCGGCTGTGGCAGCGGCGCTAGCGGCTCTCGGCTGCTGCGGCTCCCGCTTGCCGACCCCATCCCGCTATGGCGGCCGGCTAACTGCCTTGCTCCGCAGAGCATTCCCCGAGCTCATCTTCGCCCCGCGCCTGCATAGCCAGAGAAATACAAGACAGCCACTCCCGCCGCCCTCGCTCGCTCGCGCTCTGCCGCCGCTCCGCCTGGCCAGCCGCAAATAAACAGCGGCCGCCTCCAACCCGCCTCCCTCCTACCCCAGCGCGCATGCTCCGCGCGGCACGCGAGTCCGTCCTTGCCTGCCTGGAAGGTGGACCTGGGACGGGGGTGGTGGTGTGGCCGGCGCTCTCCCCCCCCCCCCAAAGTTCAGGCTCGCTGCTTTCCCCTTTGACCGATGCTCTCTCCCACCGGTGTCGGGATTCAGACGCCACGCTCCCCGCCAGCAAATAGGAGACGAATCCAGGCGGTCAGCATCTCTTTCCTAACCCAAGGGATCCAGTTTTGCATCCAGTTTTGGTCACCGCATTATAAAAAAAAAAAGATGTTGAGACTTTGGAAAAAGTGCGGAGAAGAGCAACTAAGATGGTTAAAGGCCTGGAGATTAAAACATATGAAGAACGGTTGCAGGATTTGAGTATGGCCAGTCTAGAGAAAAGAAGAACTAGGGGGGACATGATAACAGTATTCCAGTTTTTGAGGGGTTGCCACAAAGAAGAGGGGGTCAACTTATTTTCGAAAGCACCAGAAGGCAAGATAAGAAACGATGGAAATTAACCAAGGAGAGAAGCAACCTGGAATTAAAGAGAAACTTCCTAACAGTGAGGACAATTAAACAGTGAAACAGCTTGCCTTCAGAAGTTGTGGATGTTTCATCACTGGAGGTTTCTAAGAAGAGACTGGACAGCCACTTGTCTGAAACGATGTAGGGTGTCCTGTTTGAGCAGGGGGTTGGATTAGAAGACCTCCAAGGTCCCTTCCAGCTTTTTTTCTGATTGATTGAATGAACCATTCCAGAAGGTCTATAAAATGCTCATTCCTGAAAGGTTGGCATTGACTTTATTCTTTTTCTCCAGAGGAAAAAGAGAAGCCATCCAATTCTGTTGGTTCCTAATCCTTAGAAGAATCACTTTGAGCATCAGCCCGAAGTAGACAAGTAAGTAATGTGCTGGCTAACAATTGCCACTGATCTGATTGCACTTAGTCCATCAGTGCTATTACTGTCACTCTGGTTGGTGATGGTGGTATTTCCTAAAGACATTCCATTTTTTAGCTTTTAAAAGCAAGTCCAGATGTGCTGCCAGATGTATTGGACCCCAACTCCTACCATCTCCATTGTAAGCAAATTAAGTAATTATGTAGGAAAGCTACATTAAGTTGTGAAATAAAATGGCAGGGTGTCCTTAAACAAGCCACATTAAAAGGTCTAAGATAGTGTTTCTCAACTTCGACATGCTGGGGAATTCTGGAATTGAAGTCCACACATCTTAAAGTTGCTCGGATGGAGAAACATTGGTCTACGTACGGGAAAGGAATGGGCAAAGTCAATTCCAAATAACAACTAAAACAATCTCCATCTCACTCCAGGCTTGCAACTTGATTGAAATGGATCTACATCATCTGTTTCTTAAGAGTGCTAGAAGTCACTCAACCGTTACTGATTGACGGTTTCATCGTAAATGCTATGTTTTGGAAACCACTTCCATTTTTTAAAGATTTTTTTTTATAAATAAGACAATGAACATATCTAATACCACTTTCTCTGGTATTCCCCACAACAACCCTGGGGGGTGGGTTGGGCTGAAGGGGAGTGAATTGGCCCAAGACACCCAAATGGTTTTCATTCCTAAGGCAGGACTAGAACTCATAATCTCCTGGTTTCTGTGCTGGTACTTTAACAACTAGGTCAAAGTGGCTCTTTTCAAGATTTATTTCTGGGACTTCCAAAACGCTACCTGGAATGGCACAATATCCAGAATTTTCTGCACTGTAGAAAAATGTAAGCCTTCTGAATATTAATAAGTGTTTTGCAAACCCCACAGTTACCATTCTTGAGTTTTAGATCGCTCTGATCCTGCTGCCCATCCAGAAGGCTATAAAGCCTGGCTTTGGTCTACTCTAAGCTGTTAGTAAAGCCTCATGTAAGTGAGTTTGTGATCCAAATTAAGGTGTGAGGTGGCTCCGCTTTGGGGTTTTGCATTTATTATTGTTTGTGTTTTTTACTTGTATTTACGTTGTTTCAAAAATGAAACCCATTTTTTTAAATAAATTTTATTGAATAAAAAAAAGGAATTAAAAACATTGAACATGGTAAATCAACATTTGACAGACATCTCAGTCCATATTTACATTAATTACAAATAAATCTCTTTACAGTAACATCATTCTAATCTCAAACTTGGCTTTTCTCATTACAATGACCTCCATTTTTTTTCCCACCATCTGCAAAATTTATTCCATATTTGATAAAAATCTGATTCATCCTGATTTTTTAATCTTTTAGTTATCCTGTCTAATTCTGTGCAATACATGATTTTCTGAATTAATGTTTTCCCACTCGGTACATCCGTAGCTTTCCATTTTTGCGCAAATAATATCCTTACCACTGTAACCACGTGAATGAATAAATATGTGTCATCTTTACTTACATTTTTTTCAAGTATTCCTAACAGCAAAATCTCAGGTTTGTACTGAAAGTTATGCATAATCATTTCTATTGCTCATTCCCAGACCATACGCCAATACACCTGTGCTTTTCTACATGTCCACCAAACATGAAAAAAGTGCCCCTTTCTTTTTCACATTTCCAACACATAGATGAATATCCTTTACATATTTTGGCTAATCTGGCTGGAAGGAGATGCCATCTGTAAACCATCTTACATAAATTCTCTTTATATGTTGACGCCAATGTGATTTTATTGTTTCGCATCCATACCTGCTGCCATTGATCCAAATTAATATTATGTCCTAGATCTATCGCCCATGTCACCATTGTTTCTTTGACCTGTTCTTCAAATAGTCTATACTCCAATAAGTGTTTATAAATATTCTTTATTTGTTTTTTCTCTGGGCCTAGCAATATTTTGTCTAGCCCCATATCTTGTCTATTAATACCCCATTCTTGCTTATCTTTCGTGTATCTTGCTTGAATCTGGAGGTAAGACCACCACTCTATGTCTATTCCTTGTTGTCTTAACTCTTGTTTTGATTTTAAATAACCCTCTTCTGTCAAAATGTCTATATATGTAATAACCTTGTCTTTCCTAAACAGATTGGGGTATGTAACTGCCTCCAGTGGTGATAACCAGGCCAGAATCTTTGTATAATATTGACATTTAACTGTGTTCCAGCTTTTTATTAATCCTTGCCAAACCTTGTGTCTTAAGAAGTATTGGTGATTTCTGTTTTGCCCCATCCACATGTGAGCATGCCATCCCTGCTGAAGATCATAACCCTCTAACTGTAAGCATCTTTGATTTTCTAAGGTTATCCAATCACTAATCCATGTCAGGGCCGCGGCTAGGTAATATAATTCCCAATAAAAATGAAACCCATTTTTTTATCCTTTTTATTTATAATGCAAGGTTGCACTACACACAAATACAATTGCAGAAAAAAGAACAAAGAATTAGAAAGGTCACATATGGTTTATCATGGCTAGTTATAGTGTGAGCACCCATGGTAATAAGCCATGCTGTGCAAGCTTTAAAGTCCCTCTGCGCTAGCCCAAGAACCAATGGTAGAATTGAATGAATTCAGTCTTCCAAGCAGATTTCATTGAGTTAGCTTATAAAACTATTATTATAAATCTATTAAAAATGAATGAGTCTCTATAGCTGGAACACAGGTTTAAAAATAAATGTGTGATCATTCACACAAAAACAAAACAAACAGGGATGGAAAAGTGGTGCAGGAGACCCAATTGGGGAATGAGTTATAACAGGCTTGTGTGAGCCAATGTCACAGCAGAATAAAATACTGTAGTTGCTGCCTATGTTTCTTCACTAAAAGTTGACAGAAGGCTTTTATAAAAGAAGCTGGACTGATAACTACTAGTGTTTAGATTTGGTAAGCTGCAAAGCGTCACCATGCAAGTAATCAGCTCTGTTCACATCCTCAAGCTGTAAAATTTGAAAGTCACCCAACAAAATCACATTAGATGGTACTTCAAAGCATTCTGCTTATGCAATAATTCTGAAATTACTCTCGAAGGGGTTTGTCAGTGCATTGTTGCTGATCTATTTGTATGACATGATTATTCATGGTTAACTGAACCATGGTTTACTTACTTCAGTGTTTTGGGTTTGTGTGATGCAACTGGATGGAGAGCCAGTTTGGTCTAGTGCAGGGGTAGGCAACCCAAAACACTCAAAGAGCCACTTGGACCCGTTTCCCACCGAAAACAAAACACCGGGAGCCGCAAAACCCTTTTGATATCTAAAATGAAGATAACACTGCATATATCCTTTTTTACTTTTATTATAGGTGTGTATGTGTCTGTGTGTCTGTGTTTGTGTGTTGTGTATATGTATGTATGTGCATGTGTGTATGTATGTGTGTATATATATATATATATATATATATATATATATATATATATATATACACACACACAGGTAAAAAAGGATATATGCAGTGTTATCTTCATTTTAAATGTCAAAAGGGTCTCTCTCTCTCTCCCTCCCTCTCTCCCTCCCTCTCTCTCTATCTGCCCTTGGTCTGCCAGTCCTCTTCCCCCACTCTCTTTCTTTCTCTCTCTCTCTTTCTTCTCTCTCTCTCTCTCCCTCCCTCCCCCCCTCTCTCTTTTTCTCCCCCCTCTCTCCCTCTCTCCTATCTGCTGCTCACCTGGCAAGCTGGCTTCAAGCTGTTCTCCAACAAGCTCAGGGGTAGGCAACCTCGGCTCTTTTATGACTCATAGACTTCAACTCCCAGAATTCCTGAGTTAGCATAGCTGGGCTAGCTAGCTCTCTCCTGTGTTTCCTGTTTCCTGCTTCCTGCAGAGACACAGCCAAGGCAGGAGCCCCACCCAGTAAGCTTGTTGGCTCATTGAACAGGGTGAGGCCACCCTCTTTTTTACACACACACACACAGAGAGAGAGAGAGAGAGAGAGAGAGAGAGGCCTGTCTCTGCCTCTCTCTGCAAATGGCAGAGGAGGCTGGGAGCCACAGGGGAAGGCTCAAAGAGCCTCATGCAGCTCTGGAGCCACA